GACATACTGTTTTGCCTGTGGAAAATAGTTGAAATAACACATTCTGTTAGAAAGTAGATCTATCTGAGAAGTCTTCAAATCTATGAACAAATTATCTGTACACCTTTTATCCCTGATTCCCGTTAAACAAATGTTGCTGTAATCTCTAAAATAACAAACCAACGGTTGAGTTCATACTTAATAATCAATGGCAACAAAAAAAAAGAAAAGAATTCAAGGTGAGTGCCAACGTGGAATTGCTTCAAGTCAGCTGTTTCCAATGGTTTCATAGCACTATTGTTAATAATGTGTCACAGATATAGGAAGAAAAGTAAAGACAAAGTAAAGAACAGTCAACTTAACCTAACTTTGAGGCAGGGTGTTGCTCCTTGGAAACCGCATTAAAGGACGCCTGAATATAGCGACTGCTGAAAAATTGCTTTAACTAATTTGCAGTGTTCTCTAATTCATGTGTCTGTAGGTTAAGTTTCTTCTTCGTGTTTGTATGGGTGCATCTGACATGGGTTCAGTTTTTAATTTCCTTATTGAAAATAGATGATCATTAATCCAAACACTCAAGATAATTTTGGATTATCAAAGGCTCAGGTTGCTTTTGTCATTTTCACTGCAAATTATTTGGTGATATGCTCACTACCCGTCCTCTCTTTCTGAGTCCAAAGACATCTCCTTCTTTGTTCCCAGTGCTGATAGCACAGAGATGTATTTCTGTTTCAGTACTTTCACATTGCACTGTCAACTTTAACAGTTCCCGCAAGCCTGGGAGAAAAACGTGTAGCTCTGGGACAGAGTTCTTATTGTAGTTGATATTTTTATCATTTGTCATTCCATAACTTGTGCTTAACATAATGCTGTGCCATTATTGTATCACAATATATGACCACTGGAAATAAGTTAATCCTTTTTCCTTATTCGTATCATCTGCTGAAAGAGAATATACAAATTCCTAATGTCTAGAATCATAATTAATTTAGATGTATTTAAGTAAAATGGGCTACAAACCAGTCAAAGTGTACATAATTGGAAAATGGAAATGGCCTTCCATGAGAAAAAAAGTCAAATTCTGTTGCTGTCAAGTTTGTATATTTTGTCTTTTACAAAAAGTGTTCTCATATAACATTAAACATATAACATATAACATTTTCATATAACATTGAAATAATCTTTGACCACTAAAAGATTGCAAAGATAATTATTTATTCTTTTAGAAGATATAAAATTCAAATTTTCATTGTTACATCTATTAAAATTCTACAAAATCATCACATAGAACCTCAAATTATGTACAATTTTTCTGACAACTGAAAAGGAGAGCAGGTGAAAGTATCACGTTAATATTTGTTTATGGTGTTAGTAAAGATAAAAATTTTTGTGGTGTTTTTCTTCAGTGTTCACCTACATATTTGAGCAGAAGGATTAAAAAGACTCCTTTCTCTGTTGAATTGTCTTGCCAACTTTGTTCATAATTAATTGAGATATACATGAAATTAAATTATGTGCATTGCATTCTCTTCCATCATTGGATTGATCTATTTTATATCAACCATCCACTTCCCTGATTATTGTAACAATATGGGAAGTCAGATAAACACTTTTGCTCTCATTTTCAAGGTATCTTTAGATTTTTAAGGTTCTTTATATTGTGTATAAATTTAATAAACAGTTTGTTAGCTCCTCCAAAAATAAGCTGTTATTTTGGTTTATTTGCATAAAATGTATACCTTCTTTTTTGAACAATGAACAGTCTAGTGATATTACACCTTTCAGTATGTTTATTGTGTACTACCATTCGCTTGTGTTCCTTTGCTCCAGTGAGTAATATCTTGGTCTTGCACATTTAAATTTTTCCCTAAATTTTTTTCTGAGTAATTGTATTATTGTACCCATATTTGTTAAACTTCACATTCTAGTTATTCTTCACAAGAATATAGAAATACAACTGGTCATTCAGATGTACAATCTGTCTAAATTCCTTATTTATACTATTTAGTACAGTATTCAAACTTGCAGTCCTCTTGCTTAAGCCTCTCTCAGAGCTGTGATAGTCATAAAATTCTTAAAATGAACACTAAGAATGCTATTCACTAGAGTGTCAGACTAGTATTATAAAGCCCTAGGTCTAAATCTTAGAGTCACAAAATCTTAAATAAATAAAATAAAATAATTTTGATAAATAAAGGTTGATATCACTATTATTATTCCAACTATCACGTCTTTCACAGAATTGTTTAGCTAATGTGAAAATTATGTAGTATGACAGTGAATTAGAAAACTAGAGGACATAGACCCCACCAGAGTATCAGAATACACTCTATGCTTTCTCTATGCTTTGGTTTTGTTTACTTTCTTGTGCTTCTGCTGTACTCAAGTTGAATCCAGGGCCTTTGCACTAAAGTACATCCCAAGCCCTTTTTATTTTTTTATTCTGATACTAGGTCTCCCTAAGTCATTAAATTGCCCAGACTGGAATTGTACTTTTAAACCTCCTGCCTCAGCCTCCCAGAATAATGGGATTACAATCATACCAAGCCACTTGGACTCTGCTTAGGTGAGGAAGTCATATTTGAAAAAAAGTATAATAAATGATTCCTGAGAACCATACATCTGTTGTGCACATGCCCAATCATAGGTAATAAGGATCTACTTAAAAAGAAATGTATCAGAAGTATCATTTTCAAGTAAATTCATTTTTCTTGCTGTGAACTCTGCTTGGGCATTTGTCAATTATAACACTGCATAGTAACTTGGAGCTCAATTTTGCTGCTTTTTTCTATTCTTCATTTGTAGGAAATAAAGACAATTGCAACAGAAGACTAATTTGCAGAAACTTGTTCTAGTACCTCTCTTCACATTAGTAATTTTCTTTGGAGATAACTATGCTTGTTAAATAATGAATTTGCTTCAGATATTTATAGGTCTTTTCGCTTCCAACAGATACAGACAATGAAACAAGACACGTTGTTCTAAAGAAGAAATAACCTCAACCATCCTCTTTCCAAGGCAACAGATTGACTGTTCTGATCTATTTCCACTCTTTACCCACTTAAGGCAATTCACTTTCATTTCTCACTAGAGGAGATTTAGAAGTACATCAAAGACAAACTTGAAATTGGGTTAACCCCTTTGTTCTCAGTGTCTGCCACATGACAGGAGCCAACTCCGTCAAGAATGGATGAGCATGGAGCACCACGTATGACCTGATTTCAGCAAACCTAACTGAAACTCTTGAAGAAACGCGTGGCCATATTTATTCATTCACTTGATGTGATTTCTTTCTGTTTTCTAATTAATTAGTGGAAACTGACTGTCTTCCCTTGTTAAGCTCTTACACGGATTCATCAGAATGATATAATTTGCATACTTTTTAACTTCAAAGAAAGCATTTTTCCTTCACATCACTTGCCTTGCCATTTATATTCAATTTAATTTCAGATTTATTTTAAGTTATATGAGCATGACTATTCAGAATAAGAAAAATTATTTTTAAGGATACATTTTTAGTCAGAAAATAGAATAATTCTGTGTACAACCTTAAATATGAACTAGCCCATTCAACTAAGTAAGCAACTTTGAATAAACAGAACACAGCAGAAACTGTGAGAGATCACAGTATCTGTAGTAATAGAGATTTGCTCATTCAGCACATCTTCTTTTATATCTTGCAGCTTGAAATTCAATTCATTTTCACCAACTTGCTTCCTACAAGAGTTGGTTGTTGTATAGCATAGATTTTCTTTTTAAAAATAAGTTTGGGGGAAAATGTGAAAAGTTTCTGCATTTTCTAGGTGTAGAGAGGGACACGCAACAGGGACAGGGTCACTGGCAGAAGCGGAGGCAGGGGAAATCCCTTTCTCACAGCCTTGAACTCTCTCCGTTGGAGCTGTGCTCCCCAGTCTCCAGATCCCTCGATGCTTTGGCAGCTAAAGGAAAGAAAAAGCAATTTCGTTTTCTTCCACGGCTGACACCTATACGACAAAACACTTACTAATAAAAGAATGGGGAACAGATTTAGTTAACTAAGGTTTAATGTGACATTGGAAGTTTCAGAAATGAAGACCGAAAAATTCAGCACATGCATATTTATGCTTAGAGTCAGTTGAGAGTGGACCGTCTTGTTGAAGTGTGATTGGACAAGAAGATGGTATAACTTAGAGGTAGCAAAATGGAGAAAGCTTAGCAGAGACTCTTTGTTCAAGTCCTTCTTGGCTTCTGGAAGGCAGAACTCTTCCGATGATCTTTTTTGTTAGGCCAGGTAGGTGAGAGAATTTCTTTATGTGCATCTACCAGGCGGAAACATGAGAGATGCCAGAAAGAGCATCCTGCTTCTACTGTTTTCCAGTTGCCACGGTTCCATACGGTGGTAACTTCTCACCTTCAACACAAGAATGCGCCAGAGTGCACTGCTGTCTGACAACTGTTCTCTGAAGCTCAGTCTGGGCCTTGGTCTTCAATGTCCCACAACTTTTATAAGCACTGAGTTCCTTGTGATAAGAGCCTTCAGTGGTTCAATAAATACTATTGTTTTGTGAAATGAATTCTCCTGGATCCAGGTTCTGAAACAAAACTAAGATTCATATGCACACATTCATACACATGTTTATTACCATTTGCAGTTTATTTTCACCCTCATTTGAAGATTATTTCCTTTTTCTGAGTGGAAAAGGATCTTGTGTCTAGACATATTCTAATTTACACCAAGTTCCTATTGTTTAAGGAGTGGTGCTGTGCTTTTTTTGTGTTCTTTCCTTCTTGAAAGTTCTTATGCAAATTAAATACAGCAATTATCATAATCAAATAAGATAGAAAAAATATTCTTACTAGACTCATTCTCATTGAATCCTTTCCCCCTCACCCTGGTCTGTGTGTCTATTTCAGCAAATTGGAATTAGCAGTCCTGTTGTGTTGTAATTCAGTACCACCTTGTGACCTAAACAAAGAGCTTTATGACCACTTTACAAAATTCCCTAAACTAAAGTCACCAGAGAGGACTCAGAGAGAGAAGGACTTCCGTCACCACTGTCAAAAGGCTCATTGTGAAAGATTCCCTGGCCTTGGCTGTCAGCAAAGGTTTTCCACATCTCGAGGAAGCAGACTGATCAGGAGTAAAAGGAATGAGCATTAAGACTATGATATGGTAGGCAAAGCAGTTCTCTAAATTAAATGGCCTCAGCGTGAGACTGAGAAAGTATATTCCAAAGGTTCAACTTAACAGGAAAAACTGGTGGTTTACATAAATTTAATTTTAGGCAATACTTTGAGCTAGGGGCAGGTTGCTATAAAGATCACAAAAACTGTCTTATATTTATAAACTGAATTAACTTATCAGCGTTCTCTGGGTACTTCAAAAGACACAGGTTTGTCCAAATTGAGACCATATATACTTAAGATCTGGACATGGATTTGTATATAAAAGGAAAGAAAATTAAATGGTGAAATTTAATGACATGAATAATATTTTTGGAAAATTAAACTGACATTGAAATTTACTTTGCAAAACAAAAAAAAATAAAATGCTAAAAGGGTAGAATGATGCATAGACAGGTAATAAATGAGGTACAGTGAAATTGTCAATGGTAGGGTCTTGATGGATATATGGAAGGGGACTGTAATATTCTTTTAATTCTGCTATATATTTTTGAAGTTTTCCCTAAAATATTTGCAAATAGCATAAACATTTTAAAAAAGAAAAAAAGAGGTTTAGTAAGTGCTTTATGAATGTTATAAAGCTTGAGTTAAAAACATAAATAATTATATTTTCTTAGGAAGTGGCAAGGTGAGCAGCATGTGTAGGTATGATACATCTAAAAAGACTGCCTCCGGCATCAGCTTCACCACTATCCTTTAAATAACCTTGTTGAAATCAAATATATGATAATATGCAGATAAAGATACATCCCATGTCTTCACACAATTGTATTGTGAAGATTAATGTTCACATTATTATGCAAAGACAAATTTATATTATTCAAATTAAGGACTCCATTTAATAACACTCCAGGAACACACAAATGCAAAGCTTGCCTTTTAAACACAGATCACAAGGTCAGAAAGTGAAGCTCTCCTCTCTAATCCTTGGAGGTTCTTTCTCTTCTATTTTAGGCTGGCGTTAATTGCTGATAAGTGGTGGCAATTTATTAGAAGTAGACAGTTTTGTATCTAACTAGTGGAGCAGAGTGAAGCATTGTTAAGCAAAAACTCTTACATCTGATAGAGACCAGTGAAAAAAAGCATACAGGCAACATTCAAGCTAATGTCCATTATAAAAAAGAAGGGACTGGTGTGAGGTCTCCAAAACATGTTCCTAAGAAAAACATTGAAGTTAATCAGGAAGCACACCGGAAATTCACCTGTGGTTACCGACAGAAGTGAGGACCAAGGAGGCATCTGTTTTGTACTGAGGCACAAGGTAACAAGATTACTACACTAACAGTAACCCAAAACACATAATTCCTAGGAATGGAATTATGACATTTAGTGTAGCATATTCCCCTGGTGCAGGAATACAGATCCAGGTCAAGCCACATCTTCTGCTCCAGATGTTTTCAGTTTAATTTAGTTTTGGAAGAGATTGCATTCTTATCTGGAGTTCAGAGCTCACTTTCAAGTTTACAGGGATTTTAACAGAACTCAATTTTTCTGGCTATAGAACGGATGTTCCTGTTTCCGGTAGCTGCTGTTCTGGTGTTGTCTTCATGCCGTGAAGGCTTGTCTCAGGTCCTGGTCAGGAACACCTCTGACAACAGGGAACCATATTTCTCTAAAGCCAGCGAAAGAATGTTTCAGTAGTTTGCTCTGATGTCTGTAGTCTTGAAAAGTGTAACATAATCGCTGAAATGACAATTCCACCATATCTAGAGGTTCTAGCCACACAAACAGAGAGAAACATGCACAGTGGGTACATCGGGTCTCAGAAATCGGATGGATCATCATAGACAGGTACGTTTTCAAGAAAATAAATGTTGCATTGATTAGGAAAATCTCACAAAGTCGTGTTCATCCAATTTATCAAAGAAGATGACTGGTTCATGCATAGAATGAAGGCATAATACTTACATGCTGGGTTATCAACGACTCTGATAAAGCAGGGAGGGTGTAAAGTAAATAAGAGAATTGGACTCCAAAGAGAAAAAGAGCATGAGCAAACTGTAGCTCTGGAGCTTTACTATTTTTACAGAATATGTAATAAACCCATCATTGGGGCCATAGTAGTTGAGACATAAAAATTCAATAGGTTCAAAGACCTATTGAAGGCATATAATAATTTATTTTTTTATTCATTTAGTAAACATGTTCTCATTGTGTCCACTGGCCTCACAACATTTGTCCTCATTCTGCTGCTGCGGGAAAGTGAAAGAGATAGTTCTCACTTTCCAGATGAACACTTCCTACTGCTAAAATATTCAAGAAGAGAAAAAATGATGGAGGTATACACAAGATTTTCTAGGTACATAAAGGAGACACCTAACACAGATGTACTTTTCAGGGAAGGTTTTCTATCAGTGGTGACACACCTTAGCAGTGAGCACAAAGTCATAATAGTACCTCCAATTACTAGTAAATTTAGCAAATTAATTCCTGACAAAATTAACATATTTAATTAATAATTTATAAAGGAACTTAATGAAAAACTGAAAAATATAATATCTGAAATTTAACCTTTGTGAATACACCTAACAGTAGATTGGAGATGAGAAAAATAAATCAATAAGCTTGAAAAGAGATTGGTAGGAATGGTCTGATTAGCAGGAAAAAGAGAACCTAATGAAAAGAGGGAAAAATGAATGGAAGCTCAGTGGTTATCGAGAGAGAGAGAGAGAGAGAGAGAGAGAGAGAGAGAGAGAGAGAGAAGA